GGGGTCTTACCGCTGCTTTAACAGCGTGCCCGGCCCTCGGTTGCGACAGTCGTTGCTTCCACTCTGCCATGAGATCTCGCCGGAACTCATGGAGCACGTCTACCCATAAGCAACCCACTCTAGCCTTGAAGACGCGGGGAACACAGACTCCAGCAAAGACCTGCACTCCTTAGCGGTTCTAATGACAAACGTGGGAGCGAACCTTCGTTCGGACACGTCCACTAGAAGCGACGATGTTTTGCCGATTGTGTGGTGGCACGATATTAGAAAGGACTAGTGGGAATCAAGTCGTCATTGCTCTCATGAAAAACCCTCGTCCCGATGTAAGTTGAAACTAGAAAAAAAAATCTCAGTTAATTCTCATGAGAAGTCGTTAAAAGAAACATAAGAAGAGGAAGGACGGTGGCGAACCAATGGTTGGCGCGGTGGCTGGTCGACTAGCTGCCTTCGATTCCCGAAATCCTGATGCATGAAACAACTCTTTGTGTGATCCACAAGTTGCTGTTCCGGGTCTGGGTGTGATGTGTATTTAAAATTGTATGTTTGTGGACGCATCCACGACACTAGAGAAAATCCCGGCGTGGGGATAAGTTTAAAAAAAAAATTAAGAGAGGTTTTGTACGAAGTCTCGATTCTGGAAGTATTTATATTTTATAAAAATTGTATCCCACAACTCTCTAAAGATTAATTAAGAGGCTTTTCAAATATACACCTTAACAATTCTTCTAAGAGATTTTCCATGAAATCCGCTTATTAAATTATTTAAGATCAAATTTATCCCCTTCTTTACTGCACTGATGACACAAACAATTTGATGAAGGACCCAAATCATAAAACCTTGGTTACATAACAATTATCGTTTATCGTTTGGTCCCCATCAAACTATAAAACTGCTACACAAATTTCACCTTTAACACCTGAACATAAAGTGTAAAACGGCAAGCGTATAAATCTTTAATTTGTTGTTTGTATCTATAGGCCCATTGTCTCCCAAGCGGCGAGTAAACGGATTAACTCCCCTTTATTTTACGTCTTTATCTTTAATAGGCTGTTAAAAAGAGAAGAAAGAACATGGATAACAAAGACGTTCCCTTTTATAATCCCTGTAATTATCGCTATAAAATTTGAATGCAGAAGGCGCGGAACACACAGATGTGAATGTTACTCGCTCCAGCGCTCTCTTGTGCAATCCAAAGGAAATTTCAACGTTATTCTAGATAACGCTTTTGAAACAGGTTATTTAAATAACGTTTATACGTTTATTCTAATTGTACAGCTGTTGAAAGGATCTGCTTGTGTCGCTCGCAAACGTTCCGCTTTTGAATTAATATAAACGGTTTTTATGTATGTATCTGTGTGTTTAATTGAATGTTGTCGCGTTGTCCAGTCGTTTTATTTTTAATTTTGTTTTATTTATTACTTTGTAGATTTGAATATTATCATGTCTGCTGTAATTATTATTAATATAGGCACAACAACACTCGAAATTATTTTTCATTGTAGGTATAACGTATTCCTTATAAATCCATGACCAAGAATGTGCTCCGTATTTGTACTGTAAAAATAGTGTACTGTAAAAAGTTAAAAAGTAAATTATATAAACTGCCATCTTGTTAATTTTAGGTGAGCGATGCTTTGTCATGAATAGGTATGACTGGAATGATATCACAGCCCCACCGAAATCCGGCGTTCAACTACCACAGCGTTATGTTTCGCCATGTAAGTGAGGTTATCGGAGGTGCAATATGCTATGGGTGCTTTTTCCCCACCCCAATCTCTCAATCTCAGAATTTTTTATACCCAAAAGGCCAGCAACACACTCATTACTGTTCTGGTGGCGCCAATCACTAATCATCAGGCAATAGGTAAGCTCCTATGCCACCCTAATCCAAAAAAAAAATAACCTGCAACACTAAACTGCCACCTAGATTAAAAAGAATAATAGGAATAGAAATAACTTGGAAAAACTGGCCACAACTCTTTATTATCTACCACACCTAGGAAAGCTTCCACTTTAGAGATTCTACTGAGGAGGTTCAATTGATTTTCATTTTACAAAGGAGTTAGATTCCTTCTATGGTTAAATGATTCTAACTGATCACTAAAAGTCGAGAAAGCGGGCGCCATAATAAGTTTTATTCAATCACTAGATTTTGCCCGCGACTCCTTTCGCCTGGAACAGTGTTTTCTTGCAGATTTTTGGTATAAAAACTATCCTATGTCCTCTCTAGCGTTCCAAACTATGTCTGTACCAAATTTCACAGAAATTGGTTCAGTAGTTTCGGCGTGAAGATAAGGCAGACAGACAGAGTTACTTTCGCATTTATAATATTAGTATAGATTTTAATTTAAAACTTAGAGCAAAAGGTAGAATGTTTCATGTAAGTATGAATCTGAATGTTCCTTAAAACGTTAGAGATTAGAGGTTTGACAGCATAAACAATCATAGGTATGAGCGATAATAAAAAAATATATTTATCTATGCTAATATTATAAAGTTGAGCATAATTGTTCGTTTAATCGCGCTAATCTCCAGAACTGCTTATTTGAATTGTATGATGCTTCTTGTGTTTGTTAGATCATTTATATCGGGGAAGGTTATAAAAAATCACGCTATGATTTGCAGGAGCTGAGCAGCAGCAGGGTGAATAGTCATAAATTATTCATACATTATTATATTTTTTTTAGTAGGTAAAGTTACCTCATGATATCTCCGGACCTGTGTAGGGCGAAAGGTATTGTCAGACTGTTACTACGTTAAAATCACCAAGTTACTTCTTCTGCTCTGAAAATAATAAATAATTAATATAATATTCTATTTCTATATTCTATTATTCGAGCAGTGGTGGCCAAGTGGTAACGGCCGTGACTTACGAGTTGTAAGTCGCGATTTCGAACCCAGCCAGGCGCATTACTTTGTGTAATTTATTTCATCAAATTCATCACCACTGCTCTCAAAACGGTGAAGGAAAACATCGTGAGGAAAACGCCATGTCCTAGAACCAAAAATTCGAAGACATGTGACATCCACCAAACCGCACTGGGCCCGCGTGGTGGATTATGGCCCAAGCCCTCTCCTAGAGAGGAGGCTGTGTCCCAACAGTGGGAACATTAGAAGGCTGATGACGAATATAATATTTCATATAAAAAATAATTTAATACATAGGTTTCAAACTAAAGCATCGATAAAAAATACTAATAGATTAATATAAAGAGCTCTTATAGTTTATTTCCAATCAATTTAACTTTCGAAAACAAATACCTAATTCTAAGAACTATATACGATCAGAGTTAAGCCTTATCACAATAATTTTCTTTGTCTCGACAAAATGACCAAAAAATAAACGAAATAAAAAAAAAACAAGAAAAATTTTCAAATTCCTAAACGTGGTTCGAAAAGAAATAAATGGTTGAAGAAAAAAAAAACCGTATTTGTGTGTACATGTTGAAACAAAGCCTCTTCACAATTTTATTGAGTATTTCTTTCGTGTCTGAGTTTCAATAGCTAGCCAATTTCATGGAACATTACATAAACACATGTCGAATGTTTTCGATAGGCTTTCGGTGGAGACAGCTGTTGATTTTTCTTTTTATTCTTAAGGTCTAAAATGGCATGTCTAAGTTTTTCTCTTTGCACTATTTCAGAGGCCACTTCAAAAAAAGGTTATATAGATGTGTAAAATCTGATTTAAAAATAGAAAAAAGGAACATCGTATTTATAAAATATTTTTTCTTTTTTTTGAGTTAAGGGATTTGATTGTATTATTCTATTGTTTCAGCGAGTTCGGAATCCGAATTCATTTTTATGTCATTTTTATGAATGAAAAAAACTGGAATCATTTTAAATATCCCTAACACCGACCGTAAAATCGAATTCACTAACAGAATTATGCATTCAAAACGTCGATATATAAAAAAAAAACATAGAAAATAACACAGAACTAACTTCATTGGAAAAACAAAAAGAAATTCAGTTTCCAAAGTTTCCTAGTCGCTGGGACACAGATGCGACCAAATGCCGCTTCCAGTGTACTATGTCTTTGAAAATGGTGAGCGGATTATTTTAAAGCTTATTTTAATGGCTAGCTATTCGGGAGAACTTATGTCCGGAAATGCGACAGTGTGCGCTAGGTGTTAGTCCAACAGATTATATGTATAACTGTGTTTGTATTAAATCTATTATTTTTCATAATTGCATTTTTATGAATATAATCTCTGCCCGTGTTGAAATATGGTTTCAATTGCCTTTTTCATTTGTTAATTTGTTTGAAGATTTTTTTTCTAAAACGTTTAAGGTACAATCCTTTTATTTGACCTTAAACTTTGAACTTTGCGATCTTCATTTTTTTCCTTATCTTCAGAGCTCTCTTTTGAGATAAGGAAAAGGTACTTAGCAACGGATATTCAATATTTGATGTTTAATTTTGTATTTCTGAGAAAAAGTTTCTTAGAAAACTGAGAAACGGTAATATCGGGGTTGAAAAGGATTTTTTGAATGGCATATTACATACATAATAACAATGATCAAATTACAAATAATTGACACTTGCATGAAACACTGCTTAGCTTTTTTTCTTATTTCGATTAAAAATCTAGAATAATATCTATCTTACCATACGATATTATCTTGTGTCATCGTTGCCTTCACAAACATATAATTTCACATACACAAGCTACCCTGTCTCAAAACAACAATTTGTGGATCACACAAAATGCTGTTAAGTGCAGGGATCAAACCCGCGGTACGTGGCACAGCAGCAACTGGCTGCCCAGCCACAGTACCAACAGTGCAATCTTCTTCATCACTATCTATGTGGAAAACAGTAAAAAAATTTAACCGACCTAAATATATTACCAGAGGAACTGGGAAGCCGTCTCCTCTTTCTGTGAAGCAGTCATGCTCGCAAAGAAGGAAGCGGACCGCGTGAGGGAGTTATACTCCTCCTCACGGCCCAGCCGCCGCAGCAGGCGACACTCCAGGCGTCGGAGCGGGTTTGCAGACGGCGAGTCAGGTTGGCTCGCTGCCCGACCAGAACCAGACCCGAGTGTGGGTCGCGTAGCGTTCTGCACGCGCCTAAAGACCCAAATAGACCACCACAGGCGGGGCCCTGTAGGGCTGATGTTCAGCCGGGGTTGCGGGGTAAGCGCAATTACAGGCCGCAACCTCGGCCCAGAGCAGGAGTAGGAACGGGGGTTTTTAGTCAGTAAGAGACTGATACTCCCTTCCACCCGACCCTTGGCAGGAGAAGTCATTTGATGATTTTCCCCTCACAAAAAAAAACTTTTAATTGTTATTTTGAAATCATTATTCTACCTTGAGCAGGCGTGGTGATTAATGCTCTAACCTTTGTTCAGCAGTTAGCAGTTTCATGTAATGTGGGGAATAGATATCTGAAGATCGAGGGATTGCGAGTTGGGGATGGGAGAGTAAGAATTGACGGAGGAGGTTAAGGCTGCTCAAGAAATAAAAAGAACTCTTGTTATTTTCGATTCAGTCGTGGAAATCTCATTATAATTAAACACATCAGTTTAATTAAAGTTTGTCACGTTTTCCGCAGGTCTTGCTTTGACTGTAGCGTTGTTGTGTATTTAAATGAAGTAGGTTAATGTGAATTTATAAACATATTCGCATTACAGAACATATTTATGTACATGGCCTCACTCCTTTGAATCCTCGAAACTGTTGGAATGTGTAATGTATAAAATACCTAGGCTAGGGTTTTTTGTGGTTTAAGTCGGCAACCGAGCAGACGGATTACCTGATGGTAAGCACTCGGCGCCGCCCATGGACACCCGCAACACCAAAGGAGTTACGAGTGCGTTGCCGGCCTTTTGGGGATTATTTATTCTTTATTAATTTATTAACATTTAATGTAAAACATATACACAATGGTGCACTTTTGTACCAGTCGACCGTAATTTGTTACAAATTTAACTTTTTTGTAAAATTATATCAAACTTCATAATGTTTGAAGTGTTTTTGTTAAGTGTATTTACAAAGCTCTTATTTAATTACGTTTATAATTATTCAAAAGTTGTTAAGCAAATATGAACTTTAAAGTACTCTAGGCACTAGTGCCAAAGTCAAATAAGTGAATATGTTTATTTTATAACAAAAGATTTCTCAATGACAAGTAGAAGGTGAAGCTAATGCAAACTGAATACAATGGAAACGGAGCTTAATAGCCAGAATACAGGGTGTTTGAAAAACAATGAAACATTTTTCAATTTTTTATTTCTTTTGGAATGTATGTAATCTGTTGACTTTTTTAACAACATAATAAAACATTGTAATCATTTGGGAACTATTTGGAAATAATTTTTATTTGATAAAATTGAAACCCTGGACCTATAATTTCTAATTATAATTTTGAAATCGCCAATCCGCCTTTAGCAAACGTTGTGATTAATGCTAAAACCTTCTCCGTATGAGAAGAGGCCTTTGCTCAGCAGTGGGACTTATAGGCCTTATATGCTGATGGTGTATTAATACAAGTATTTCGTTTTTGAGAAACAAATTAAGTAAATAATAACGAAAGCTATAACTATATTTAGACCGGCCATACCAATAGAAACGTAACTACATAGCCAATTTTAAGAAATAGCAAAATTTGACATTTACCTCCAACCAAAAATGAAACAAGTTTTAGAACGACCTGTATATAAAATTAATAAAATGGCTGACCGCATGATGTGATGGACTTAGAGAGAACTGGCAGAAATAATATTTAGGTTCAATAAATCCATTAGCTTAACATTACTTAGACACACATACAATAATTAAATCTAATTTTAATGGGTCTACAATGACTTTTCTGACTTATTTAGTCGAATATATTCTATCAGGTATTTTCAGACAATGACTAAATAGATTTGAAAGCTTTGTTACCCAAACAGGTTGAATTACTACACAGTATAATAAAACTAAGTCGCTTTCTCTGTCACTATATCCCTATGTATGTTTAAGTCTTTTAAACTACGCAACGGATTGTGATGCAGTTTATTTTACTTGTAGAGTGATTGAAGAGGAGAGTTTATAATTATGTATAATAGCACCCATTTTGTGGAGAAATTTAGTATCAGCATCGCACCCGTCCGAAGTCGGGGTTGGGTGCCAGTAACCAAATTAATTCAACTTTCAAAAAACCTAAACACTCGCTTTGTTTGACATTTCAGGAGAAAGAGGCATATCAAAGGAGCCCAAGCTCGATATGTTTAACAGAAAGCAGGCCATCGTTCCGATTCTCCGAAACCCTTATATCCATAAGGCTTGCAACGCACTGGTGTTGCAGATATCCATGGGCGGCACCGATTGTTTACCATCAGGTACTTAATCTGTACACTGGTTTGCCGTCCAATCATATAAAAAAAGATAATATAATTACTGTATAATACTCTGTACTCATACTACTACTGTATAATAGTAATGTAATTACTTACAACACAAAATTAGTTACAGCTCGACCCCATATAAGTGACTTCATTTTGTCAATATAAAACATACATACACTTTCCCCATACCTACATATTATCTTTCTACTTACCTTTTTTCTAAAGTGGGGAAAATCATCTGATTGCCTTGGTGGTGACAAGGAGTATTAGACTCTTACTGACTAAAAACCATCTTGTTTTTTCCCCTGCTCCAGGCTGAGACACCAGCACATTATTGAGCATGCACAAGCAAACTTTTAATAAAACTTTTTTTTTATAACTATAATATTATACAACAAAAAGAGTATTAAACAAATCGTTTCGACTTTAAAATTTGCGCTTAGCAACTCGTTTACCGATTAATTGTCATGTTATAGAAGATACCTGCACGCTGCTTTATAGATAGATATTATGATAATCCAGTCTGAGAATAAATTTTATTGGAAATATTAATTTCTGATAATTGTAATTTCAACGAATTTTTCTTTATTTATATTTTTTATTTAAGTTTTTGGCACAAACATGTATGTTTGCCTTAGACTTAATGTCACAGTTTTTCCGAATGTTTCGTCCTAGCAAATAGTAGAGAAACAATTTCTAATCTTCAATAACCATCTAAATATTTAACAGCCATGATAAAACAATACTTAATCCAAAAACAAAACCCCAAACAAAACCAAAAAAAAAATCTTACACCCATCACAAATACTAAAAATCACACGAAACTCAACTCTGGATCCTAGTATTATAAAGTATACATTCCAATATCTATCTTGTGAATAGATTTTGCTCGGCTGGCCTGGTAATTATTGAGTGCTAATTGAGTAACGTATCAAACACTATTCGCGCCCCCGGCGTTACTTGCTACATGATCTATGGAAAACATAGTTTGGAATAACGAAGCTGTATTTGATTAAAGACAACAAACATCGTTATCCAAAAACAAGACCCCATTATCGAATAAAAATCCTCACACCATACACAAACACTGCCAATTATACTGAAATCAATGTATAATAATAGCTTAATATTATAAAATATATGTTCGAATAACTGCATATCTTTTTCTTTCGAGATTTTAACAATAATGATTTTGACTTTGTAGCAGCATTGTACCGGCTTAGGATTTTTTTTATGTAATAGGTCAGCAAATGAGCAGACGGATTACCTGATGGTAAGTAATCGACGCCGCCCATGGACACCCGCAATGTAGGAGTAATGAGTGCGTTGCCGACCTTTTAGGAATTAGGGTTTTGGGGATTTAGGGATTGGAGGAGGGGAAGGATAAGGATAAGGTCTCCGGTAACCTCACTCACACGGCGAAACACAACGCTGTGGTTGTTTCACGCTGGTTTTCTGTGAGGCCGTGATATCACTTCAGTCGAGCCGACCCATTCGTGCCGAAGCTTGGCTCTTCCGCACCTAAGTATAGGAGAAGGCTTGGTTTTTAGCGACACTCTCTCTCGCCTCCACCCAAAATGGAAGAAGTTATTATATGACTACTGATGATTTTTCCCTTAACTTTGACGACAATTTTTAAAATTAAAATATTTCCTATAAAGATTACTTATTTTTGATTAGACTATTTTTGATTAATTATCATTATATTTTTATTTATATAGAATGTCTTATTTTCAAATATGAGATGTTGTGATAGACGTTCTGTACGTGTATCTCAAGATGGTACACAATTTACGATGACAGTTAGTGAAATAATTTAGCTCGGCTCAAAGGACCACACTTCGCACTCTAGAAAAATAACGATCACGCATTTTTATCTTACGACGATTTTTCGTCACATTCTAGGTATTATCTCAAAGATTATTACAGCACGTTTCAAGCTCCCGATATGTGAAGGACGTCTAGAGGTCACATCCAATAAACGTATTTATACATACGTACATCAGAATCCATACTAATATTATAAAATAAATTCGAAATTAAATTTGTCTGATATTTTTTATGTTAAAACCACAAAAGTGATTTCGATCTAATTTGCGTAGAATAAGGTTGATTTATGTAACAAAATATCTGGTATCCAATTCTCAGAGAAGGGGTGCAGTGATAAGTCTTATTTAATTTTTATTTTACATCGCTGATGTTGGTTTTCGACTGATACAGTATTGTTTTGTTCGATTTCATTTATTAAGTGTAGTAATTAAACTTTTCATAAACGTATCATTGCACTAAAAGTAATCTAATGGTTACATTAACAGTCCTCGGCAATTGTTTTCACAACAAAATCGTCGGCTCAACTGGAGTGATACCATGGCCACTCAGAAAACCTCCGTGAAACAACCACAGCCTTGTGTTTCACCGTGTTACTGGATACCCAACCCATCCCTCAATAATCCTTAAATATCCGAAAATCTTAATCTTCAAAAGCCCGGCAATGCAGTCGTAACTTCTTTCATCCATTAAGCATGATATAGCTATCAGGTAATACAAATCTTTCTTTGCTGACTCATTTCATAAAAAAACATAATAATTATTTTTATCTTTAGACCATTTGTCTCATTATCATTGTACTCATTATAAATTACAAAAAAATAAGCAATTAAATGTCTCTATTAAAAGTATTAAAAATATTTCATATTTCTTTACCCAATTTACAACAATAAATTATTATTCAAAATTGACAATTACTCCCTACTTAACTTCTAAAAAACTTTAAATAGCTATCTTTAACTCTTTTTGATTAACCTCTTATGGATGCTCAAAGGAGTAACAGTGAACTGTTACTGTTGTAACGCTTGTCACTCGCGGCTAAATTCGCTTAAAAAAGAAAAGATGTCGAAAAATTGGGGACGATAAAATACTCTGTATTTTCAGACTTCAAGACTTTTTATGTGATAATGGGGGTAAACAAGATAACTGGATTGGTAAGCAATCGAAACTCTAGATTAGTTGCAATCGCGTTGATGGCCTTACTATAAGGTGCTTTGGGGATTTAGGGATTGGGCTTTCCCAATCCCTAAGGAGGAGAAGGCTAAGGTCTTGACGACTGATACAGCGAAACACAACGCTGTGGTTGTTTCCCATAGCCCAATCATATCTAATCATAGCTTTCCCCCACTTAATATGACTTAATATTTGTATTTTGATCCCAAAATGAATAATGACACTGCATAATGTAACCATAACCAAAATTGTATATTATAAGTTATATTTAGTGTGTGAGGGCTACAGTTTTTTTCTCGATGGACTGCGTCAGTGTTGTCTTTTCGCCAGACAGAGAATCAGCCACTTTCACACAATTAGATATAAAATTTTAGACAGCTACAGTATTAAGACAATCTGGCCTTTTGTCAGACAAGTGCCATCTATTGAGCAAAATGCTATAACTCCCGTTTAAGTAGGTGCTGAAGTGTAATGTGTCTTGTTACCTCTTACGGGATTAACTGGAGTGACTTCATAATTTATGTTATTAAGTTGGGTTATGGTAGAAAATGTATTGTTAATCATAAGAGTTGCTCTAAGAAAAAAGGCGTAATCAAACATACAAGAAACAAGCGTACTCTTTTTTAAAAAAGACAGCAATGCGCCTGTGACTCCTTTGATGTTGTAGGTACCCTTGGGCGGCGCAAACCACTTACCATCAGGTAATCCGTCTCTTCATTTGCCTTCGATTCCATATTAAAATATATCAGACAGTTTGTGTTTATCTCATTTGATGTTCAATTTGGAAATATTATAGCTTATTTCCTTCATTTTATTTTAAGTAGGTATTTTATATTTTAAGCACCCAAAATGCTCAGTTCGGTTTATCTTAACACTATCCTACATGTTAACATTTATATAGTTTTAAAACAGTGGTTTGTGCAGCTTTATAGCCATTACCACTGCAGCACTACTGGTGAGATGTAGGTGCACTTTAAAATATTTTCTAAGCACAAATGCAGACCTCTAAGTTAAATACAACATCATCAACATTATTCCTGAAAAAACTGAGATGCTCTTTATTAAATTGAATATCCAGATTAACCAGTTCTGTTATGAAATGCCATCGTGTAATGAGCCTAAGCCCATGTCAATACAAAAGGCTCAATTGTATATTGTGTATAACTATGATATTTTCACAAAAAAAAAAAATGATATGTTTGATATTTGATATGTATTTCTAGAAACGTCTAAAAATTAGTTTTATCAAACGTGAGATTTCTTATTCAGTAATCTGTTCTTTCCAGTCGACCAACGAGACCACAAACAGCAAATAATATTAACCAGGAGTGTGGTTTACTCTTAAAACTTTAGAGATCTTGTAACACTCTCCCAAAAACTCAATAAAGCGACTACAATATGGACATTTGGCTAATTGCAAGAACCCTATGGGATACTTACTTTACCTTACAATACAGAACGAGGGTACGGTAAGCAATGATTAGATTCTGCTAGGATAAGCTTCTCCAATTAGTATGGCGGTAAGTAAGCTCCACCTTTTGTTCCAAGTTTCGTTACAAATTAATATTATGAGAAAGACGTTTTCGGTCCTTCGGTACGCGGAAGTTTTGTGGTTCATATCATTATTAATTTTGGGTTTAATTGTTTTATGTATATGTTCTTGAGTTATTTTCTTGTGTTGCTTTAAGGAATATAATACTACTTTAAATTATACTAACATTATAAATGAGAAAATTTCTAAAATTGAATGTTTGTTATTTATTCTGACTTTCATGTAAAAAATAATAAACTCATGACTCAAAATCACTCCGTCCTGTCTCCTGCTTTTGGGATCAGATAAAGTATTAACAAATTTTTAATTTGAACATTCTTAATAATCCTAAAATCTTTAATTCATTGTTATTTAGACCAAAATGTCTTAAATTTTGGTTCAGAGTAATTAAAAATCAAAATTTCCTCTAACATTCTATTTTTACGTGACATTTAAACCTACGCTCTTAAA